TTTATTAATGATTCATGCATGCCATTATGTATTTATATTTTATCCCAATTTGTCGGAAAGACGACAAAGTGCGAAAGTCGCCGTGAACTCGGTTTCTGTGTTTTAATCCGCGCGTTTAATTGAAATTGGCTGCGAAACCGATGCCCCGAAGGCTTTATGCGGGTCCCAGAAGTCAAAGTGGTGGGTTAATGCCAACAAGATATCTGCAGTAGCTCTGGGCCTCGTCAAATCTTATAGATATTAATGATGTTTGGACACACAACCGAATTACGAAACAATTAATTATTTGATTTATCCCCCCAATTCGTCATTTTTTCATTTCGCGTGACTTAGCGCCCTGGGTCTAATTTGCGGCTTGATGGGGTTAAGCTGAGGCTAACTGTTTATCTACCCGCATTATTCACTGGTTTCGTTTTTATAAGTAAAACATCTACTCTTTGTTTAAATTATGAATTATTAGGACAGAGGTGAGTTGATAGATTTTTGAACAAATAAGGGGATAAACAGGGCCTTCAATGTTGCTCATAAAATTATGAAAGAGTTTGTTTCTGTAAGTATAAATGGGGATTATCTGAGAAAACTAAACCTAATCCCTTTATTTGGAATTGTATTTTAAGAGTTTTTACTTGTAATTACTTAATGAAAATGAAATTATTTCGATTTTCGATTAGGAACCTCGCAATTGGCTTATCATAAATTATGTTGAAAGTAAATAAACCACAAAAAATAATAATTTGGCCAGGCTGGAAATAGGTTTTATCTCTAGCCAATAAAAAATTTGAATGTGTTCAAATATGCGAAATTTTTTACGTGACTTGGTAACTTTTTCAATACGAAAGGTTTTGCAATCTGCAACCCCCATAACTGAGATATTTCCTTGCCCTCTATATAGTGTTTTTTATTACCCGCTGCGTTTGCCCCCATAATTCAGGATTTATCTGGGGAAAACAATCTGTGACAATAATTCTTAGGCCTGACATAATGTACCTCAAATGTTTTATTCGTGTTTATCGCCGGCAGTTTTTCCACGTCTGCCGCGGCAGCACTTTTGGCCAAACTTTGTTTTTCGTTTTGATTTTCTTTCTTTTTAGCAATTGCCAAAATATGGCATAATATCAGAGTCCACTTATTGACTTAATGGGCATCTTGATAGGAGGCAAATAAGAAATATTTGATATATGGGAAAGATTTCACAGCGGGTTGGGGTTTTTTTTGGAGAAATGGGTTTTAGGCATCGGGGTTGCTGGCAGTCGGGTTTCCACTAATTAAAAGTGCGGAAAAAGGTTTCGTTGACTTCCAAAAAATCATTAATAAGGATATCTGTTTCTTCGGCTTCGTTTTGTATTCATTTATTGCGCTGCAAGAAAATTCCGTTCTCATGGTTGGCGGCAATGCAAATATTTATATAAGACAAAACTTTTGTTGCCATTTCGTTGGGCTGTCGGGGCGAACAAAAGGGTTAATGAGTTCAAGCAGCTACTTAGACGACCTGATTAATGATCGGCAGTGAGCTGCCAACACATGTATGCAAAATATCACAGAAACACAGCCGAACTTTGCATAAGATCATTAATTAAATCACATACACACACAAAGGATCTGCCAAAGAGAGCGAAAAAATATGTTAATTTCTGGGCAAACGGGGAAAAAAAATTAAATCCCGAATAGAAAAATTCACATAATTCCCAATTATAAATTCATCGAAATGACATTTAGGCCTGGGAGATCTCTCACCTTGTCTCGAGTCGACTCAACACCCCATCATCAGTCACCTCACCTCAGCCTGTCAGGCGAATTAATGGTTCTACCCCCCAAAAACCACCCAAAGGGTTACTCGGTAACGCTAAAAAAATCATAGTTAAATATTATAAATGTTTGTTTTTACTCGGCTCTATGCAAATGCTCGGCTTACACTCAATTAACTTTGTTGTCAATCAGATGCAAATATTGTGGTTCCTTGGAAAAACTCCATCCATTGGCAATTGCAATTTGTTTGGCTTTTTTATAAATGCTGCCCTGCTGCTGTTGTGGTTCATTAGAATTGCTCAATTATTCCATCAATATGCATTTGTTGTTAATCGAATTTTTGTAGCCGTTTCATGCATATTTAAGTGGTTCGTTGGATTTCACAGGCGGTTGTGTGAAAGCCAAAAAGAAAGCGGGGAAGGAGTCCGGGCAAATGTTTGTGAATTTCCATGGGAAAGTTTGGCTAGCGTGACGCCCTCTAAATGTGTCTTCCAAGGAATCAGCAATTGCATAAATATTTTAAAGCTGATTTGGCAAGGGAAATAAATGTTTACCCATTGCTGATGTGGCTCACATTAGAAATTCACAGAATGCATTCGTAAGTTTATGCAAATGCAGTTTAAGGTATTCGGGAACTTAATGTATGTATACCTACAACCTTTTCTTATTTAAATAAAACAAATACAAAATTTATTCATTGTAAAAAAATATGATGACACGACATTTCCAAGTACATAATTCATTTAATAAGGAACTTTATACCTACAGTCGCTTCTTAACTTTTACTGAAATAAGATATTAAATAATTTTAAGAATCTAAAAGCAACCTAATTTTAAACTATCTTATGATAGTCCCTTCGTTTAGACTGCTGATATATTTTGGCCACTTCGAATTTAATTTCCTTTATCGACATGCAAATTCCTTCTCAATCACAATTCACAACATTGTTTGACAAGGCTTTAACAAACTGCGGACACGTATCCGACCTTTAAAAATACCTTCTTCTCACATCTTTCGTACAAAGTCCTTACACTCAATCCATATACTACCCCGAACTCATACCTCTAACTCGCTTCAACCATGATGATCAATCAAAATCTGAATTTTAATGTTATGCGGTGCATGAAACCCTAACAACGGGAACAAGAATAACCATATCCTGTGAGTAACAACCGCCAAGGAAAAAGGAAAACAAAAGTGTAAAAGAATTTCCATTGCGACACAGGGGTGCGCTCTTTTGGCATTTTTCTAACCCCTTTTTCCATCCGGTGAAAGGCAAAATATTTGGAAAATTAAAAAAAAAGACAGAGCAAAAGGCAGGAGAGAGTGAAAAGAAAGGGGGATTGACTGGTAACCAGTAGCTTCCACAGGAAAATAGTAAAAATTGTAAAAATCCTATTAAGCATTTCCGGGCGAAACTCCTGTTCAGCGTTTGCTTTTGACACTTCTCCTTTTATAAGTACCTTTCCTTTTTTAGAGACCATGGGGTATATGTATTTATGTCATGGCAGATAGATTTACATTTAGTTTAGACTTTCGATTTAGTGTCTTAATTTAATTCTACAATAAAATACGAAGATGTTTTGTGATGTAAATTAATGCAGAAAACATAAAATAAAATCAATAAAGTATTTTATAGAGGGTATTTTACTGTTCTAGCCCCAGTGATATTTCTGGATTGTTTCTATTTGAATATTGGAGAATGTAAATTCTGGCGGGGGGCCTGGCTTAAATGTCTAATTTAAATGCATGTGCTTTTAACAGTTGCAGACAGAGATTGATGATTGTTTTTTGGGCTCTTTTTCGCCACAAATAATTGCTTACAAATTTTGTGGCACAGATTTCCCTCATTAAATGATATATGTGTGTGTGGCGAGGGGAGACTTTCAAGCAGGTGCAGTCGTTCCCTCATAAATCTACCCCCAAATCACGAATCCAACTCCTTCACATGTGTGGAACGAACAAAGGGCACTCCACATATGATGTCATCTAATCTATTTTCATGTTGTTGAATTTATGATCTCTAACCAATCTAGTTAGCCATGCTCACTTAACAAAAATTGAAAACTTCTCCGCTATCTATGCGTCCATTGTGTGATTGAGGTGTATAGAATTTTTAAAGCATTTATCGTAAATTTTGATCGAATCGGAAGGGATACTTTGTCCACTTGGCCAACCCTTAACCACACAGAGAGGCACATCCTGTTGTCCTTCTGACCCAAACCAACACACAATATAAAGTACTGATTAGGAAGCGAAAAACAATAAATGGATCTGTGCTGCCACAGGGGCAGATGAGTAAATGGATGAATGCCACATTAGATGGCAACGGATGTCATTACGGATAATTTAAAGTGGCCCTTGGTCAGCCAAAAGATATCAAGAGAGACTGGAGTAAGTCGACCACAGACACCCTTCTGCTGACACTTAAAATATAGAACTTGTGCTCTGTATTCTATATAATTAAAACTTTTAAATATAAAAAAAAAATAGTATTTGTAATGAGCAGAAGAAGAATTTGTAGCTTATACTCTTCAGTTTAATAGCCTGAAAAAAAAGTCATAAATGCCGCAGCCAAAATCAGTCAACCTAGGAAATAGGGGGCCACTTCAATTAGTTGCGCCTCTGGAAAAAGGTCACTCCAAATAAATATGTCAAAATCAAAATAGAAAACGAAATCGAAACCAACTCCAACGCATTCAATGATCCTCACTGTAAAGTCCCTTAAATTAGTTTCACTCAATTGATTTTCGCCAAATGCCATTTCTCTTTTAACTTCGGTGGCAAGTAGCGCATTTCACGTTGCACGCTCTTTAGTTCAGGTAGGGCAAAAATATTGCCACAGTTCAGGGGCTAATATTAAGGGTCATGGGTCACACTTGAAAAGGGTTAGGTTAAAAAATAGCTGAGTTATCTGTAACTGAGTTACTTGGGACATTTCTCCACGCATACTAGTAAAAATTAATAATTGTGGAAATATTTAAGTGGATTGGTTGGTTCAACCCAAGAAAAATAAAAATAGTTAGTCTGAATACAGTAAAGAAACCCTATTGTAAAAGGAGTGAAATATAACTTATATGTTCTAATTTGTTTTGGATAAGGAAAATTAGAAAATTAAACTGCAGTTAACTTAAAAAGTCCTGGATATTGAACATAAAATGCATTTTGAGTTTGCCAGTAGGATGATGTTTTTAAAATAAATACTCCAAATTTATTTTGAAACTGTTGCGGTACAGATATAAATATAATTTTAAAATTTAAAACAACTTAAAGATACATTTTTCTTCTTCCAAAATAAACAAATTTGGATCCCCTATGACATGTTACTTCTTCATGATGGCAAGGGTGGCATTGAATATATTTCTCGCGGAGATGCCATACATATCCAGCAAAACAGCTGGTGGACCCGATCGCGGTACAGTGGGCACATAGAGATGCTTGACCACGAAGTTCCGATAGTCGGCCAGGGCACTGAGCACCGCCTCGCCCAATCCGCCCTGCTGGTAGTGGTCCTCCACCACGACGATCCTTCCCTTGCACAGTTGGCCGTGTTTCACAATTAGTCGCACATCGAGGGGCTTCACTGTGAACGGGTCGATCACCCGGGCCGTGATGCAATCCTCCTCCAACCTCTCCGCCGCCGCCAGGCATTCGTACAGCGTTACTCCGGCTCCAATCAGAAGTACCTCATCCGATGGCTTTTGGCGCACCACCTTGCCCAAACCCACGGCGAACACCTCATCGTTGTTATAGATCACCGTGGTGTTCGGATAGGTGGTGCGGATGAAGCACACGCCCTTCGTATTGGCCGCCAGTTCCACCGCCCTCTCCGTACTCACAGCATCCGTGGGATAGAACACCGTACTGCCGGGTATACTTCGGAACATGGCTATATCCTCCAGTCCCATCTGCGAAGGTCCATCCTCTCCGATGCTGCAGCCACAATGGGAGCCCGCGAAGTTCACATTCGTATGCGAAATGGCACCCATGCGAATCTGATCAAAGGCCCGGGTGAAAAATGTGGCATATGTAGAGACGAAAGCCACCGTGCGTCGCCGACAGGTGGCGCCAACGGCCACGCCCACCAGATTTTGCTGCGCTATGAAGCACTCTATGAATCGCTCCGGAAATGCATTTCTCATTTTATCCGCATACGTGGAGTTCTTCGTATCGCCATCGAGGGCTATCACCCGGTTATTATCAGCCGCGATCTTGGCCAAGGCGGTTCCATATGCCAAACGAGGGGCTACCGAATCTCCCAGCCGATAATTGGGCGGACTACACAGCATTATGTTGTTGATATTCACCTCTGGGGCGTGGCCACACTTTCCGAGCTTTTTGGGGGCCAAACGCACATTCGGATTGGCGATCATCAACTGCATGAGGGGTTTTAAATTATATTGATATTTAAAGTTCAGAATTATCATTTTAAATACTGCCATTTTCGCGGCGAAATATTAGCAGAATTTCACTATCTTTAGTAGTTTTAGAGTCCTCAGAGTTTCTGTGATGCTTTTAAGTAAATCAATCTACATAGATTTACAAATTTGGAGTGTTATCAAATATCTTTATAATCAAAAATGAATTTATAAATTGTTTCTACATATTTGATTAGTTTATATATAAACTATACTATACTATAGTATTCTTGGATCCCTATATCTCACACAACATGTTTGATGATAACTTTCATTAGTGTTCATTATATAAATTCCTAATGTATTTTCTATGATTTAATATAAGAATATGAATTATATAAATTTCTTAAGTTAAGGTTTAACTAAGGTACAGTTTTTTAAAGCATTTAAGTGGATATAACCCTACCTGTATGTGTTTTATAGCTGCCTCGGCTCTTTTTCCGAGTGGCTGTCCGTGCATCTCGTCAATTCCCTCGACTCCCAAAAAGTCCTTTCCCTTAATGGTTCTGGTCAAAAGAGCAGTGGGTTTGCCTTTGGTGTTGGCCGCATTTTGGAAGGCCTTGACCAGTTCATCGATGTCATGCCCATTTAAGACTAAAGCATTGAAGCCAAAGGCATCCAACCGCTCCCTATAAACCTCCATTTCGGAGGCAATATCGGAACAGAAGAACTTATTCATGTCGAAGATCACGCAGAGGTTGTCCAGGCAGTAGTGACCAGCAAAGTGGAGCGATTCCCAGACGGCTCCCTCGGCGGCTTCACCATCGCCGACGAGAACATAGGTGCGATAGTCGGCCTTGTCCATATACTTTCCCACATAGGCCATTCCTGCGGCCACAGAGATGCCCTGTCCCAGGGATCCGGTGCCCACGTCGATGAAGCTCAACCTTGGTGTTGGATGACCTTCCAGATCGCTGTCCACCTTCCTCAAATTCCGCAGCTCCTCCACCGGAAAGAGTCCTGCCTCCGCCCACGCGGCGTACAGAATGGGTGCGGCATGTCCTTTGGAAAGGATCAATCGATCGCTGGAAGGATCTCGGGGATGCTTCAGGTTCAGGCGCATCTGGTGGAAGAACAGCACTGTCATTATCTCAGCCAGCGAGGCACAAGACGTGGGATGTCCCGACTTGGCCGCCTGCGTGGAGGTGATCGAGTGGATCCGCAGCTTCTGGGCCACGTCCTTCAGGTTCTGCAACACCTTACTGTCCAGCTTGGGATACGACATTTTCACAACCGAATTTTGACTACTTTTGAAAGCCCAACCAAAGATTGACAGTTGACAAAATCTGTTTGGGCTATGCCTATAACCTTTTTATAAAATATTTAAATTTAAAGGAATAATGAAGTAAATAAATTTTATTTGATATCCGGAAGGGTCTCAAAGTTTCATATCTAACGGATGTAATATTTTTTCAGCTGTCTGAAAATTTGTTTTAAAAAATATCCCTTAAGCAATAAATGGTGAAAAATTCCCACAGCGTTCTCCCATAAAAATGTTTCCTGTATTATTTAACTGCATTTTTTTATTAATTGTAAATTTTCAGCAAATTGAATGCATCAAAACATCATCCCCACTCGAATCAATCAAATCGCCAAGAAATGCCATTACAAATCAGAAGTCGTAAATATTTTGAAGGAAGAAACTCCCAACAGAAAAAGGTATCCCTCAATGGAAAAGGAATAAAAAATGCAGTGTGAATTTGCGGGTAAAAAATTGCAGTTCTCACAGCGAGAAAATCGGAAAAAACAGACCCAAAATGCAGGACCAACCCTCTGGACCGATAAATGCCCATCAATGAGCCAAGAGGTGCAGTTTTGAAAACAGTTTAAATTTGATTTGGGTGCGAACTGAAATTGCACGAGGGTTGCATTGGATTCTAACCCTTTCCCCGGGTCACCGAAGCGATTCGTCTGTCCGAGCGCTAAATAAATCATTTCTCTTCGATTAATTCGCTTGCTGACATGTGCACACTCACATGTCCCGACTGAAGGGGTTTGCTTTGAAATTTAAAAAAAGAAGGGGTTTACACATGGTTTCGGTTAAGCGACCGCTACTCATGTCAAATTTTGGCTTTTGCTCTCCTTTGTAGTGGCATGGAAAATTGTCCATGGCCGTGCAGTCATAAGTTATAAATTAGTTAAGTTCCCTTCGAGTACTTTAAAGTCAGCCGAGGGTTGCTCAAAAAAAATAAGTGAAAGGGGTTCCCTCTTCCCCTTTTCCACGCCATTGAATTCGCTTCTTTATGTGTGTTTTTTGAAATTTTTAAGTGCATTGATTAATTTTTATTTTGATCGCTTCGAAATCAATATTGTTTGCAAATTTCCTGTAAATACCCGACGGAAGACACAGGCCCAGCAGTTGGTGTGTGTAATTTGTCGTCATTTGCAACGCCCAGCGATGCTCCCTTCATGTTTGCCACTTAGCAAAGGGTTCAATACCCATTGCCAATGTTGCGAGTTCGAATCCAAGCGAATTTATGTAGTGGAAGTGCGTTAAAAGAGTTTTGCAAGCTGATAGCCGTGAGAAAAGGGGATTGAAGATTTGACATCTGGATTGCAGAATTCAAGTAGCTCAATACAGGCAATGTTTGGAAGACATGTTATTGTAATTTTAGATATTTTTTTTACCAAAGAAATGCTTTAAATAACAGTGCAATAGTTAGGTGAGTACCAACAAAGAAAATGAATAAAAATATATTATATGTTTTTAAGATGTTGTACTACAATACAGGAATTATGAGTTTGTTATATCCAAAACCCGTTTTATGTATAAGCCGCTTAATTATTAACATCCTTTATTTTATTATATTAGGAACAATTTGTTTGATTAATTTTAGGACTAACAGAAGATTCAATTACCGCTTGACAGCTGTACCAAGAGCCTTTCCCAATCGAGGATGAGAAATGCATGAAAAATCGCATTCCGATCCGGGATAAATGTTCCCAGGCTAAGCAGACACTCGACATCTATGGGACAGTTGACTAAGTGGAATCGATTGACCTATGTCCAAGCTCATTTATTGATTCCGTCCATTTGCATAGGACCTATCTATGATTCCCCTCCCTTTGATCTGATTGCGACGCGTGTCCAGTTCGCCGATGCAAATTGGTCACACCCTTCAGATGTCAAAAGAAATATCGACAAATCGATTTGCATGGAAGGGAACTAATAATAACTTTTGCCCGGGGTGACATAATTGTTCGAGGACCAGCTTGACCAGCCTGCGTTCCATCATAACTCATAATAATGAAGTGCAAATGCCTATGTGCTACCCTGGGCATAATCGGCTTTCGATCCAAACAAAAGGACTCTGCTTCGTAGAAGTCACGTGCCTGCCTTTTAATCCGTGTCCTCGACTTTCCTTTCTTTTCCCGGGTGAAAGTCCTGCCCAGCGAATTTGTTACGCTTTGATTTCTCCTTTTTGCGACGTGATCCCTTTTCCCTCCTTTTATTGTCTTGTCTGGACATTTGGTCGCTACCTACTTGAAGTCGTGCCCTTGATTAAATTATCTCAGTTTATCCCTGGGCTAGAAGTGAGTCGCTCTCGTGGCGGAGATAATTTTATTTGTGGGATTTTTCTCCCGACCGATTTAGATTGAGTTGTTGGCTTGAAAAAGGGTTATGAGGATTCGGAAATATTGGGTGACGATTTAGAGCACTTTTTTACAACCTGGAAAGTCTTAAAGGATAAATTAATATAGCTTTGTATTATTTGGAATTTTTTTTGTTATTGAACCAAAGAGATGGTTACTTAATTCATCTAATGGGTTTGAAAATACTTACCATCGTCAGGAACTATATAATCTTGAGAATATCGAACCATTTATAAATATTAAATTCATACAAAAACTTTTTCACTTAAATTTTACAGTTTTATGGCTTAACCCTTATCGATTACCACCGCTCTAACTGATATTTTGAATTTAGGACCACCATCTGCTTCAAATACCAAGGAGAAGATTGGATACAAGACTTAGACTCCCGACAGTTCAAACACCGTTGGTGTCTAATGATTGGCCAACTACCAAAGTAGGTGGCACTGATTTAATAGGAGCTCGGTGGTCTCCGTTTTCCGAGTTCTTCTACAGCCCCCTCCCCATAAATACGCTCCTTATGTCTGTCTCTATTTTCAATTTCGTTAATGACCCAAAAGTGGCGTAAACCAATTTATACCGAGTCGGAGTCTCGCACACAAGACAAATAATAGCGCAGCAGGACATTGACAACAACACCCGGGCAATAGATGAGGAGTGCACAGAGAAAAATATTATAAGATTCAATTTAAATTAGATAATATTATTTATGTTAAGCTTTAGGTTTTTAATTTTTATTTTAATGTAATTATTAAAGTACATTTCCTAAAGGTTACTTCAAAATGCTATCCGATTGCTCTTTAAAGAGTTTAAATTATGATCCAACACCGTGATTAATAAAAATATAAACCTCTAATCCAAGTAATTGTAATTTATTAATTTAGATTTTCCTTACCACTTACGTTTTATTTCACAAAACAATTTTTTTGACATTGAAATCTTTTATTTTTCTCAGTGTATCAGAGTGAAGCAGATTGGTAGGTAGACTGGAAACGTAGAAACGAGACTGTCGACCGGTAATTGACTGCCGCTGATGGTCACTGGCCAAAATGCCGATAATGAAGCGCAATTGTGTTCAACTGATGGTCAGAAACAAATTTCGTTCGGGGCAATTAATCATACACATTCGGGGACTGAAGGAGTTACAAACTCATGGCTTTTCTTTTCCACAATTTTAAGGTGTTGCCTCGTAAAAATAAATCATTTGGAAATTCTTTCTTTCGCGTGTTGTTTGTGGACCCTAGACAACCTCCTGCGGTTTTGTGGGTGTTGACACACGTTTTTTTCGGCGGGATACCGTTTAGATTTCTCCAACTGGCAGTTGGGTCTATGAATCATGAGATTAATGAATAGTCGGCAGTAAATGTCAATCCAGGAATCTCAAGAAGGCTTTGCTCAACTTGACTTAACTTCAGTTTGCCCTGGTCTTTAAGATCAAACAATTAACCGGCGAAGCTTTCATTGTCGGCACTTTGATATTTGATTTGCCTCTTTTTCCGGACAGACCCAGTGGATATGGATACAGATACCCCCATCCCATCAAAGATTCATCGTTTGTGGCCATATTGCGTTTCACTTTCGCTCCACATATGTATACAGGCTTTTCGCATTTGGGGGCGTTGTTTTCCTGGCCCTTTTCCGCTTTCCACTTTTCCGACTTGGTTTTTGCACGAAAACTGGGTCACTGATGTCGCCCGTTTGTTTGTTCAATGCGAGGGTTCCTTCACGGGTTAGTGTACTTTACTGCTAAAATCAATAGACTAGCTCACTGTAATTAGCTTGGACTTAAAGTGCATGCCATGCGAAGTTCAGTTTCTTGGTAGCTGGAAGTTCCTTTGTTGTGAGTCATTACCAAGAGGGGTTAACGGCTCTAAGTAGTATATGTCAAGCCAATGGCATTGTACCCACGGATTCATGAAGCTTTTCCTATTTAGTGAACAAAACAAATGCTTGAGTGTTTTAAAATTTTTAATAATCGGAAAAAATTTATGATGAATTTATTTATTAACAGTATACAAAATATCACAAAACTGTTACAATATAGAACATACAGGAAAAAATTTATATTACGAAATAAAAAATTCTTTAATCAAAAATCTTTTCTCTCAATTTTCTAAAAATCTGGGTTCATTTTTTCTATGTGTAGGTTGTACATTCCTTAAAGACATCTTCATGCTTTTGTGATCTGTAAAAATCTTTTCAGTTAAGAAAGTTCAAAAACACATTTTTCTTTAGTGTGCTTTTATTTGTTCAACATTTTATTTCAACATTTTATTTAGTCAATACCAATTATTGTACCATTTTTCATTTCCACATGTAAGGCTTTCCGTCATATTTAGCGAGGATACACTGTGGATTAAAATATGTTGATCTATATTTCAAAATAAGTTCCTTTTACCCACCTGGATTTCCACCATTCATATGTCCAGATTGAATTTGAGGACTGGCCATGGCCATACCTGTTGATGGAATATAGCTGGTTGAGGATGCGGGCATCTCGTAGCTATAAGGACTTGAATAACTGCAAAAGAAAGTATTTTTAGAGTAATAATTTATTATTTTAGTGGAATATTTTTTTGAATATTTTTAGATCCATAGATGAAGTCTAAAATTTCTGAATTCTAGCAAATTTAATATTTTTTAGGGGCTTTCAAAATCTTACCTCATCTGACTCAGGGGATAGGAGTTCATGTTCATTTCACAGACACCGCCCATGGCATAGACCTGACCTCCGGCGCCCATCTCAGCCAGGCCAGCGGTTCCAGCTGGACCGCAGATGGGACAGGATTCGGGGGTCATGCCGCTGTCTATGCCATTGGGGAAGTGGTTGAAATGGTTGCCTTCGTTGGCAAATGGCTTGTAATCAGATGAATACACTGTTTGGGCCTGCAGTGAATCGTTCAAAAAGCCCGTATTATGGCCATAGAAGTTGGGGGCATGCATGGCCATCGATGGGTGAAAGTATTGTTGGGAACCTAAATAGTTTAGTTTTATATTAAGATTTTTAAATCAAATTTAGTTCTATACCTGGGACAGGATTGTTATAATATTGTTGAGCACCCAGAGGGGAACTAAAAGCTTGCTGTGTATTCTCATAAGGGGGTCCCGCAGGATTCACTAAAAATGAAAAAGTTTAAGAAAATGAAGACGATCAAAGGTTGAGTTGATCAAAGGTTGAGATATAATACGTACCGGTATTAAAACTGCCAAACATTTGGTGATAACCTAATTAAATATTACAGTTATAAACATGTTGTACTTTGCTAAGAACTTTTTACCTTCATTGGGATTGGTATAAAATTGTTGATTACCCTGAGGGATGCCGTTGTAATACGGCTGAGTTTGAGCGTTGGCAAAGGACTGTTGAGTTCCTGTATTTTGGATAATGATATGTATAATATAATTATTGCTAATATTTATTTTTTACCTTGGTGGGCAGAGGCATAACACTGCTCAACACTTTTCTGGTACTTTCGCATGAAGTCTGCCATATTAGAGTTGTTGGAATTTTGATTGAATGAAACACTAGCCACATTGGGAAGACAACTTTCGGCGGAAGATGATGAAGTGCCTCTTGATGTGGTTCCCATGTTTAAATTGTGTTGGCCACCGCCTCCTCGTTGCGTTTGATCCACTTGCATGGCTGGCATGGAGTACATTGGATTGCCAGGATAATTACCTGGTGTAGAGTAACAGTAGATGGGAAATCCCGTACAGGGATCAACGCCCATGGGCACTGGCATCAGCTGCTGTTCCTGGCCAGGATTTCCCTGATCGCAACGGCAAAAACCGTTTGGCTGGCCAGATTCCTTGGAGCAGCAAGTATTTTCACAGGCAGTTAAAGTGGGAGCACTGGGTCTGTTGACAATGGTCTCATCCGATCCTGAGCCAACCTCCGGCAGAGAATGTCCATAGTTGTAGTAGCTGGAGTTTTGGGACATTTGCTGGGTCGAACAGGATGGAGACTCCATCTGTCCTGGTCCACAAGGAATTCTGGAGTTCAAGTCCTGGCCACTTGGGTTAGAAGATTGCCAGCTACAGGAAGGTAAGCCAACTGGATCTAAGATGATATTTATATTAGGTGTATGAAGAACAAGGAATTATATTATAACTACTATTTATTCTAAACATTAATCATATAAAAACTCACATTCGTTATAGCTATAATCGCGGTAATCCATTGTTTGTCCTTTTTGTTGAATCACTTGACCCGAGGCTATGCGAAATTGTGAGCTAAGGAGCCATATATTAGGAAAACAAATATAAATTCCTTAAAAATATTTTAACTCACTAACGAACGCTCATCTGCTTAAGAAACCCGGTATAATCGCTATCAGGATCTGCCTCAGAATTAGTTTTCTCCGGTTTGGGTGTAGAACAATTTTCCGAGAATCCCGTTTTGACCTTTTCCTGATCAGACTTCGGTATTTCACTTGTATTTTGAGCGCTTAGTTCTTGGGCACTCTTCGACTTGTATGTTTTGCAGACATCTTCAAAGCTTTCGATTGAGTTTAGTATTTGACGGATTTCCTCATCCTGCTCGCCGCCCAAAGAATCGGTATTATCATCGTTCTTCTCCGAGGTGTTCATAATGATTACCAGATGGAAGTATTTGTCGAGCTTCGCTGTTTTACGACACCAATAAGATATCTAGCTCATTCCTAAATGTTTTGAAATTTTGATTTCTTTGTTAGAAATAAATTATTTTTATACGAATATTTCCTTCTTTACCTTTGCCTACTTAGTTCTAGTAATGACTACTTCTTGTCAAGAAAGGAAGCGCCTGCTGCCTTAATTTGCATTGAACAGATTCAAGCGTTAGAATCCTTTCTTGAATAAAACGTAATATTTCATATTTGGGTATATATTTAAGTAACATATTTTATGAACATTGTTAGATAAAGGCATAGCAATTTTATTGTTTTAAATTTTGTTTATTAGTAATATAAAAGTTAGGTAAGTTTCTTCAGTTTATTCATGTTTATCTCTTGATATATGTTTATAATAGCAGCGAAAACTATAGAATTAAATCCATTATTTAGGCTTTAAGGCATAAAATAAAACTCTTTTATAACATTTTTTAAATTCTTTAAGACATTTTATTTGTTAAACAACCTGTGACTCGATGGAATACCCACCCATTTGCAGTTCCCACCTGGTTATCTCAGATCAGTTTAACATATGTGGCACTAACTTAACTAAATGAACTACAAATATTTTATCATAAACTGTCTCTCTGTTGACCATAATTACAGGCGCTAAAAAAGAATTCCATTCAAAGGGAGACCCGAATAAAACTCGATCCAGGACACGCGACCGGCACTATAAGAGCATTTGCATACCCTATAATTTCCCCCTCGCTTATCATCGCCAAAAAATCAAGCCACACGCGAAAAAAAAGGTTGGCGAAGGACCCTAATTTCCAGGTCACTTATTGTCATGTCACGACAATTAAACAGTTTTTTGTGCGCTGGTTCCAGTGCGCTTTTGAGCGATTTAAATTAAGATAGGCGGCAAATTAGCGGCCCGAAATGTTTGCATAATTATTATTTGACTGGCGAACTTATCAGGCGCCGCTGATCGCTGCTGCCACAGATGTTACACTTTTTCCACTTCTGGGGTTAAATGGGTTTCCGAGCTCGTTAAAGGGTACACCCTCGTCCCCTTTGACCCCGATGACTTGGACATTGCCGGCACAGACTGAGATCTGCGGTTAAGCGTAGCCTTTGCTTTTTAACCCTTTTGGGCGGAGTGTGCCTGGCATGACACAACGGGAAAATTCTCAGCCTGTCTGCGCGCAACCAAAAATGGTTTTTCCCTTTCAAGGTGACATATTGGTTTTCACGATAAAGATCACTAAATGTTTGCCTACTCCTCCTTTTCCTGCCTGAATGGTTGTCCTTTACCATTGCGTTGTTTAAAAGGGTTATAAGGGCATGGGGTTAAGGGCTTTAGTTCATCAGTGGTTAACTTCAACGAAATGTGTAGAAATATTATCGTGAGTATTAGTGAAATATTAAAAAATGAGTTGAGCTAAATAAAATCCTTTTCTAAAATGCCTCAACATTTCTAAGACTTAAAAGTAAGATTTTCTGATACCTTGCTTTAACATATTTAGTTTTTAATGATGTTAAATATTAAAAACTAAACAGAAAGTCTGTTCCAAGTAAGAAATAATCAATATTTAGTGGATCCTGATTTTATCACATTACAACTTCTTATTTTTATGTAACTGAATCGTTATAATATCAGGCGATTGTTAATCTTAAGAATTTTTGAAAATTAAATTATTCTTTAATTAATTCCAATTCTTGTCTTGAAATTTATAATCTGAAAAGGTAGAAAAATAACCCAAATATGTTTTTTTTATAAAATTGTATTTATTTTTTTCTTGTTTGTCTTATAAAAATTTTAATTGCTTACAAATGCTAGTTTTATACATTTGATTAATTTAAATATTTTTTTGTTTAATTTGCAATGCCAAAACTGAAAGTAAAATATTTTGAATTTTGCTAAAATCAATAATAATGGTAAAATACATTTCGACTTTTAATATTCTTGATTATTCGTATCAAAATTGCTTAAATGTGTTGCTTTTTTTCATTTCGGTTTACAATTTATATTTTTCTTTCGGCGGTTTTTGTATTCTATTTATTGAAGCTAGATTGTAGACATTTGTATTTTTCATTTTCTTTCTTTTCTTGTTGTAAACATATAAAATTTGCTGTTTGCTTAAAATCTATTTTGTACAATTGAGTTGTTGTCTTTTGTTGTCCTTGTTGCTGCAGTTGCATCTTTGTTTGTTTGTTGGTTCTGTATTGTAGTTCTGTATTTAATATTTAGGATTTATATATGTAAGTAGTTGAAATGCAAAAATTTGACAATTAGTTTTAGTTGAGTACGATACTTGTGGCTTTACTCGTATGTATAGACACTAATTAGGTTTATGATAATTACACACATTTCTCTTCCTGCCCTCAAAATGATGTTAAGAAATAATGTATTTTTGAACCAACCGGGAAACCTTTGCTTGCAAAATGAAACATTTTCCTTAAACTGAAAACGGAAAATTTGACATCCAAAAAAAGTAACAAACAATTAATATCACTTTAAGCAAATCGATGACAAATTTTGAATTTTCCTCTCTCTCTTTCAAAAATAGTTTAAAAATAGTTTTCTTATTTTGTTGTGGAAATATCCCATTTTTTTACAAAACTCCTTTCTCCTCATGTGTCCATACCCAAAAAAGAAATCACAATGCGCTTTGATTGAGCCTGCCTTTCCCGGAAAATCGCTAGGATCTTCTCTCTAACCAGATGAAAAATGGAAATCAAATCTAGTTTTCCTTGGAGGTGGCATCGGTGACATCATCTTCATCGTTGTTCTGACTGCCGCTGCTGATTTCGAAGGATATTTGTATGACCGTCGGTCGTCGCTGGCTGGAATTGTAGCTGTAGATTCTCAGAGCGTAGCAGAAGATCTGGGCCAGAAGATCCCAGCATCCAAACTCCGACATAGTCATCGATCCCTGCTGACTTCCTAGGGGTACGGAAATGTTGGCTCGGAATTGAGGACGATGTTGCTGCTGTTGGTGTTGCTGCTGCTGCTGCTGCGATGGTTGCGGTTGCTGCGGTGCTGCAGCAGGTGTTGCAGTTGTCCTAGGACTCGTGGCTGCCTGCTGGCCATTTTGCTGATAGCTTCCGGCCAACAATTGGGCCTGGTCGGGTATGAAGTAGGCAATGGCCATTGTGGTTTGTTATTTTGTATAAAATATTATTTAAAAGTTTTATTTTTAAAGTTTTTAATTTTTAAAAAATATATAGCTGTTAGTATATATTTTATAATATTTTTTAATGTCTTAGAAAGTTGTTTTCCATTCACTGCTGGCACTGTTTGTTCTTTTCAAGTCTTTATTTTTCGTCTTAACCACTCGGAAAATTTTTCTGACTCATTTGGCGGGAAAATGTACGTGGAAAACTTGTCGCTTTTTGACGAACTTTTCTTTTCGCTTCCGCCTGTTATACAATGTTCTCTGTTCGAGGTTTCAGCGTGGACTGACTGCAAATATCCTTGCTGCAGTCACATTTATAAAATAGCTCTCTCCCTTTTCCTATCGGAAGCAGCATTTCTCTCTCGCGGTGAGTGTCACCCTCCCAATTGCCACCACCCCCCAGGAAGTGTGTGTGTATTGTGTGTGTGTGCTTTGTTTATGCCAACAACCAACCAATTGAACCACCAACCACAGGGCCTCACACCACCGACAAAGTGCCACCACCACCGCCGGTTTACCACCCCAAAGAACACGGCTGCCTTTGTTACCTTTACTTCGGAACTGTGAAAGGGGAGGGAAAGTGGCCGGGAAACGGAGAGAGAACTGGGAAATGAGAGAGAAATTGGGGAAAAACATTTCACGTAGCTGCATTACGTTAAACGCAACGTAAGCTCTTAAGAGTTCGCTTTTCGAGGGTGGTTTCGAATCCATTTCGAATTTCAGGGGTTTTCTTGGCTTGACATAGTCTAGAGGGTTCTACCCACTTTGAGGGGAAGTTTGGCCACTGCTTTCTTATTTCGAAGTTCGAATTTAGTTTCAGAAACACTTTTCTATGGGTTGCTCTTGGGTAGAATCAACAACTGTTTGTAAAGGCTTTTTGGTTCACATATAAACTCATGAACCAGAAACTCTATATCTTCTAATAAAATATTTGTAAACGGAATAATCATTTTCTTTACAGATAAATAATTACATTATTTTAATTGACTTTAAATTCATATATCTTTTGAGATCTTTTTAAGCTAGCACTAGTAGGTATTCGATATATAAAACAAGTAATTTCTACTAAAACATACTATATGGAGCCCCCTTCAACTTAGAACCTCTTAAAACCAGTAACCTGCATTTGAGGTAAACCTCCTTCAACTCAAAAGCTTTTAAAGGCCAAATCCTTATGGCAAAACTCGTACGAAATGGTCCTTGAAGACTCCCCCATAGCAACCTTAAACTTGACCAACCCAAGGAGTACCCAAATGGCTTGACCTTCACGCTAAATCATTTCCAGCTCCCTCTCAAACATTTTCTGCTGACGACAATTTTAACCTTGGAAAGTGTTTGCTCCTAGCTCCCCCATTTTCCTGCGTGAACTGCAGCTCATCCATTATGATAAGCTGTTCCCGGATAGTTGCAAACTCATGGAAACAGTGGTGGAGGTAAGGGGGTTTCGAAAAAGGTTAGTTAAGATACTGTGAAATAAAAAATTAAAAAAATATGATTTTTGTTTAAAAATTTTAAATATCATAAGCCGTAATTTAAGTCATTTTCAGTGCATTTTTAAGGACTTTAATATGATACATGTATATATAATATATTTTACTACTTTGATAAGAAATATATTAAATATATAAGTGGGTCAAAAAAATGGCCAGGCGGTTGACTATTTTGACTATTTTTATTTTAAGTCCCATTTTAATCTCCTTCTCTGTGTAACATGTTCAATAAATGTCACTTAAGCAGTGGCACTTTAACATTTTAGAAAAGGATTCCCGGGGAGCAGAAAGCAGTATGCCAATCGAGCTGATTTCCTCCCTACATGTAACATTTTCGCTGAGGGAGCTCTAACAAAGTTTCAAGGCCATTGCCAAGGCCAAGGGGACACCATTTGTGGGTGCTGTTCCACAAGTTCCCTACCGGCAAAAGCTTTTTTCATACCCAATTGGACTCAAGGTCATGCCGGCCGGCGTTTCCTCCCACTTTCAGCTTTCCCTAACCCCACTTTTGTGCGT